TGAGCTGGAGAGAGACTGGCAGAAGTGGCCCAGGGACTGATGGACAATTAAGTGCTGACACTGGGGGCTGCAGACACAGCAACTGTTAGGAGGAGGGAGAACCACCAAGGCAGGCTTCTCCGACACTGAACAGAAATGGTGAGCAGGGCATGACAGAGAAGAAATGAGCACGCTGGGAGACGTGCTGCAGAGGAACGCCTGCTGAGACCAACCCCACCAAGGGCCCCACCAGCACGTTGCCTCCTGGCTGCCAGGAGAGGGCGGGGAGCCGCCCTTACCCAGGTCGTCCGTGATGAGGTGCTTCCCTTGAATGGAGTTCCGACACTGATTGCTTGGCCGGCTGCTATTGCCCAAGTTGAACTGTACCTTCCACGGAATGGGTTGGTCGTGGTCCTGAACCTGGAGGAGATTCCGATCTCTCACTGCCCTCTCCTCCTGCAAAGAGACCATCAATGGAAAGGTTAAAGTATCTTTTCTTGTGATTTCACCAATTTTTCATAGAGACTGCAGCAAGAGGACATCATAAGAAGCTTGCCCCCCAGGAACGTGTACTCTGCTGGTAGAAACAACATCCGAGAAGGGTCATAAAATAGAATTGTAGGAAAAAAATCGTAAGGTTTTATTTGTCTATACCTGGCAGGTTTACCTGCAAGGTCCCAGAATGACGTGCACATGACAAATGTGCAGAAGTGTTCATTTGCAGGGAAAAAGCTTTGAACTTTTTCTTTCTGATGGCCTGTCATTTTGAATTTTTTCATATTAAAAAAAAAACATGTGGAATAGAATGCAAAATTTGAATACTTTAGTGTAAACAGAAAAGGAAACGTTTTTGTGACTGTCACCTCGGGCATAGCAGACACATCTGGAGCACAGGTCGCTTTCATTTGCAGTGAGGGTATTTCAAAGACACAGTATGGGAAACTGAGTTGGGGCCGACAGAGGGTAAGATGAAGCGGTCATCTCAGGAGTTGACTGTGTGGGAATCCTGAGAATGTAACCCACAGCACCTCCATAGCAGACCAGAGGAGGAGCTGTCTGAGCAAGAGCTGACCCCCTGTCTCCTAGCCCTGAAGCCATGCTGGGCGGGGAGTTTGCTAAATCATTGAGGAGGAAGGTGCTCAAGTGCCAGAAAGCCTGCCAAACAGGGGACAAACCACTGCAAAAGACTTTCCCCTGAAGGTCTTTATGTTCTTTAAACATTCACCGTTCAAACAGAGTTCTGTGGCTTGAACCACTGAGATTGATCTGTTGTGGCAGGGCGCCCGCTGGTGAGCCCAGCTGTGTGAAAAGCAGAGATAGGAGGAGCTTCTCGATCTTTTCTTTAAAAAGGAAGGGGTCTGCTGGGGATGTGGTCAGTGTTAGAGTGCTGGCCTAGCATGTGAGAAGCCCTCGGTTCAATCTCCACATCGCCAAAGAAAATAGACCTGTCTTTTGTCACTTTTTAAGCAAAAAGGATTAACTTTGAAAATTTGATGGCAAGGGCTGGGGCTGGGGCTCAGCGGTAGAGCGCACTTGCCTAGCATGTGTGAGGCACTGGGTTCGATTCTCAGCACAGCTGTAAAAAAATAAAGGTCCATCAACATCTGAAAAAAATATTTTAAAAAATCTGATGGCAAAACTTACATAATTTTTTAAAAAATGAGAAACACCTTTGTAATTACTAAAATTTATTTAGAAAACTAATCTGGGAAGAGCCATTAACATTTAAAACAAATATATATTAACAACTTGGCCCAGCAAACCCTTTTTTGAAGGCCACCCTATAGACAATGCCAATGTGTAAGGATGTACTGGGGTACTTACTACAGCATTGTTTAAAAGGTAGAAAAACCTAGAAGCTCAACAGAGAAGAACTAAGTATTAGTACAGACGTGGTCTTACAACAGGCTGCAATGGACTGACAACTGTCTAGAGTAGTTCTTCACCCGGACTCCCACATTCAATTTTGTACAGCTTAAAATGAATTCTGACTCTTGAGTCTACCAATAGATGAGGAAAACACCTCTGTGGATGAGAACTGGCTATCAGTGTTCTTAAAAGTCCCAGATGATTTTCACAGGGTGCAGAGCACTGAGTGTCTACAGTATATTAAGTGAGAAAGTAAGTTGAAAATAGTGTGCACTGTGTCATACATTATATTCTGATAACAACTACAACATGTACATATAGGTTGGTAAGAACTGAGAAAAGCTTAGAAAGTCTACTCCCAATTATTGCCATGGAAGGAGATTGTGATTCTTAAATTATCTTTAATCATTTTTGGAATAATCTTATATTTTTAATTTAAGACGTGCTTGTGAATAATAGGAGAAATGAAGTGAAGAGCCTGCAGAAACTACACTGTCCTGGTGACTTTTCTGTACAGCTGTAATTATTTTGGACTAAAAGGTGGGTGTTTTTGTTTTTGTTTTAGAGGAGAGGAAGAGGGAGAGGGAGAGGGAGAGAGGGGGAGGGAGACAGAGAGAGAAAGAGAGAGAGAGAGAGAATTTTTTTTAATATTTATTTTTTAGTTTTCAGTGGACACAATATCTTTATTTTATTTGTGTGTGGTGCTGAGGATGGAACCCAGCGCCCCGTGCATCCCAGGCAAGCGCGCTATGGCTTAAGCCACATCCCCAGCCCTAAAAGGTGTTTTTAAAAATAATTATCAACATTAAAGACAGAAATTACCCACGATCCCATCACACAAATAAAACCCCATCTGTATCTGTACATGAACTTCTGGCCTCTAAACCCACTTGATGTCACAAATTAGGGTGCTTTGCATTCAGCTCTTCTTGACACTAATTGGATAGTAAAACATTTCCAAGCACCTACAGGATCTCTGATCATCTCATTTTCAAGTCTACATAACGCCATCATGCTGATGTGCCCTGACTGAGTAAACACATCCTCGTAGACTAACATGAGAACACCCAGGGATTTTGCTATCCTAGATGGCTCTCAATAAAATGTGAGGATTTAAAAAACTGTTGAATAATTTTTAGTAGTAAATGCCATTCGATGCTGAATAACTCCTCAAAAATTCTATCTACCGTGTGTAATACCGCCAGCATTTAAATGCCACTAATTATGATTTGGCCACAACTCCACCAGGACCAGTTCTGTTCTTTAATTTACTATGTAAATGGTCTTTCAAGGTGGCTTTTTGTTTTAAAAGGAAAAAGTGGCACCAGCCTGCACATGGCAAGTTGTACAAGAACAGGTGCATTTGCTGGTCAGTGGGAGATGAGGAGCGAAGTGCAGGAGTCTTGGGAACTGGGACAAATCATTTAGGTGCATCCTGCTTAACTACCTGTGAAGTCACACCCCGCTGCTCTACTGGGACACACGAGCTAACTGCATCATCAAGCTGTGTGCACATTAACCTGAGCTGCAAATGCCACCCTGGATAAATTAATAGCTATAAAGACTATTAAGGGGCCAGTCAGAGTGCAGTAAACTGGCTGTTACGACAAGGTTAAAAGTGTCCTTAACATTATTCCCAAGCTATCCTGTTATTTGTCTTGAAAGAAACAAGAGTTCATGGCCAAGTGATCTCAGAAGGCTCTCTGCCACAGAACAATATCCTGGTAAACAGGAAAGCAATTCTCCCAGCGCTTGAACTTGTTTTCAAACATGAATATTTAAGACCCTGCCAAAGAATTGTGTGGGGAGGGCGGAGATGGCATAAGGTAATGACCTGGCCCCAGTTCCTTTTCGGATGGCCCAGTCTTGCAAAGGGCAGGGGGAAGGAGCACTGAGGACTTTCTTCCTTCAGATGGGAGTTTAAACTTTTCTCAAACTGTTCCCCAACCCTACAGGTGGTCTCAGCTTAAAGCACTTCACCAAATATGTGTATTTTTTTTCTTTCAGGTTTCGTTCAAGGTTTTGGACTTTCCCCAAGTTCCAAGGGTTCCGGGGCCAAGGTTGCCCGGTTGTTCCGTTTTCCAAACCTTTTTTGAGGTTGTTGGCAAGGGGTTTTGCCCCCAATTCGTTGCACCGGCCCCTTGCGACCGGGTTGAGGTTTTCCGTTGTTCCCCCGGGGCCCCAGGGAAGGGGCGGGACCAAAAGGGACCAAGGCCCATTGGGACTTTTTTTTTGGATTTTTAGGGGTTGCGGAATTTTTTTCCTTGTTATTGGTTTTCCTTTTGCTTTGGTTTTTCAAAGGTTTTTTTAGTACTTTTGTTGGGCATTTTTCGGGGTTTTTTTTAAGGTTCAATTGAATTGTTTCCCCCGTTGGTTGGGAAGGCCTTTAACACAAGGCACTGTTGTCATTAAGAGATCTGCCTGAGTGTCTGGAAACTGGGAAGGAGGAAAGCTGAAGAACTTCCCAAATGCCTAATATTTGGGAGTTGCAGCCAATAATGAAAAATCAAAGTTATTAAAAATTTAAAAGAGCTTTTTTCAAGATGAAGAAAATGCTTATATGCTGTGAAGAAACAGTAGGCTTCAATTACACACAGAGAAAGTATGAAAAATGACAGGAAGAAAATAAACAGGGGACCCCTCTGGTTGGTGAGATTACTAGTAACTGTTCCCTCTGCTGGCTGGTGAGGCCCTTTGTGTATCTTGGTGATCAGTGAAAATGCAAAACAAAGCCAGATAACCAACACAATCTTAGGATTTACTGCACTTCGCTTCAGATAGCATCTAAGATGGCTCCAATTCACAGACCTAACTGCTTTAAAGCCAAAGACTTAATGTGTTTTCAAGGAGCTAGGCAAATAGTCCCTTGAACTGTAGGAGCTGCCGCATGGAGCCAGCAGGGAACACTGCCTGAGAGGACCTGAGGACCGTCTGGCCAGCACTGGGATTCCCTGACCTCAGGCCCAAAGCCCTGGAGTCATCATCTCTCACCCTTTGACTTCCTGTCTTTCCTCCTCCCAGCCCTTGACATCTGCCTGCCGGTGAGCCTTCTCCAATGTGCGCCATCGCCAACACACAGCAGCACATGCCCAGAGGGGCACAGTGGTGCTCAGGAAAACTTTGTTAAAGAACGCGCCAAGTTACCTGGCACCACTTGCCACCCCCAACCCTGTGCCCCAATGGCATCCACACCACCCTCACTAGTTTCTCCTGTGTTCCCATCTGTAAAAACTTAAATTATCCCCCAAAGCATTAATTAACATGAAAACCAAAGAAAAGAGGGATCCAAGAAGCAGAAGCTAATGACTACCTCTGGACCAAGCACCGCCCTGCTGCATCTGCCGTCTCCCATCTCCCCAAGCAAAGCAGAGGATCCCGTAGAGCTCCCAGTCTCCAGGCTTCTTCTCAATTAATGGCAAACACCTTCCTCCCCCAGCCCCCAACTCCAGCTCTCCAGCCCCATTTTGCAGATGGAGAACCTGGAGAGGGCGGCCAGGTGAGGGGAGCACACTGACTTCCAGGGACATCCCCGCAGACTGGCAGACGCCAGTTGAAGTTGGTCGCAGTACCAGGGCGCACAGGCCAAGGCAGGCAGGAGAGCAGCAGCCAAGGTGGCC